TATTCCAGATTTGGATGGATTTTGTCTCGTTGAAGAGACTCAGCTCTTCGAAGTCAACCTTTGACCCTAAAAAAGCCCAGATCAGGTAACAAAGGGAGTCATTTGATACTCTGAATTACTTGTGTCAAGTATTTAAAAATAAAAAAATCAAACAAATTATATAAATAATAACCAGTACATGTTAAACTCAAATGCCAACAACAACAAAAAACATCACAGCATGAACATTAATGGAAAATACTTTAGGTCCTTTTCATCCCCTCTGAGGAGTGATTTTCAGTGTTATATGTCTCCCTTTTCATCTCAAAGGAGCAGCCATGGCTGACCACATTGTTAGTAAGTGTAAGCAGAGTGTTCAAATAGTCTCCTATATTTCATGTCTGGTCTTGTTGATTTATTGGCTCTTGTTTTCATTGCTTTGGAGAATTGGGAATGGTTTCAAGGTGGTTAGCGCAATTCATCAGGGGGAAGGATCACTCTCTTGTCTACTCCTAACCATGTGAGTGTGTGCCCTTGGTATTGCATAAGTAAAGGCTATGTAAGGTCATGGTAGGCTTTATAAAATCCAGTTTGTTCATGTGAGAAAGTAGACTGTTGGCACTAGGTTGGCATGGTTTATGTTGTTGGAATGACCTATGTATGAGACTGTATGATTGGAGGCTTGTTGATTAATTGGAGATGATCTTCAATAAATAATAGAGAGGTCTAGTAGTATGACCTAAAAAGATGCACAGAGAGAGAGAAGGGAATGGGAAGTGTTTTAGAGTCTCTTTATATTTAGCTGCTGGGGGAGCTAAATAGAGGAAAGAGACAGAAAGCAGGAGTAGACATATTAGAGGAGACAGCCAATAAGATGGAGTGTCTACCTGTCTGATAGTAACCTTTTCTGGATGCACCTTCTTGCCAATGCAAAGCCATTCCGACTTGCTTGTCAGTTAATTTACATTGTGCATCAGGCTCCTTGTCCACCTTCTGAGTGCCAGCTGGGAAATCACACAACTTTGAAGCATGACTTTTGCTTTAGCACCTATTCATTTTAGAGCTTAAGGATGCTAAGGGGCTTATTTAGTAAATAAATCCTCTGGCTGAGCCAAAGGGTTGTGTAAATCTAGAGCCTCTTAACAAATTAAAAGCATTTTCAGGGAATTTAGTTCCACTCACCGCTGCTTGATCAGGGTGAATGGTTGAGAACATTACCCGTATGATCCTTCACACACTGGCTCACCCAAACATCACGTCAGTATAACGTTAGGGTGAATGTACTCAGCAGTTTGAGTTTGCACATGCTCCCTAACAATAGTTGGACATTTCTAGGAGTGAGTGCCTGTGCAAAAGCAGCTAAGATATCAGGGGGCTGTTAACTTCTTCAAGTCTTGTATCTTGTCATGGGTAACTGGCTTTGTTAATACTTTGCAAGACACTAATAGCAAAGGGATCAGAAGTGCTTTCAGATTAGAGACAACAAAAGTGAACAAATAGGATGCTATTGTTTGAGCAAATGCTAAACTTATTTGGTAAACAGGAGGAGAGGATGTTGGTCATTTTTTAAAGGGTTTTGGGTTGACTTTGACAATGTTAGGCTGGGCAGAGGCTGTTCAGTATCTAAACATTAACTTGTGAGGAGACCCAATGTGGTGGCTAATCATTGGGTTTTGTATTGATCACACCTTTTGTGTTGAGTAACAGTGTAAGTGTATTTCATTTATAATCATTACAGCCCCATTTATTTGCTTGTAGATGGGTGTTTTCAAAGCTTGAGTATTGAAAGTTTTGATATTTCTTTTAATTTACAAAGGGATTCTTTTTGTAGTTCTGTGTATACAGCATGTTAAGCTAATGCACACAAAGTCAAAAACTATTATGCAACTTCCAACGGGCAAAAAAAGATCAGTCAGTTCTAACTTTTCTACTTTTTCCTGAGAGATGATGCCGAGAGAAATAAATTTGGGTTTATTTCTGTGGTTGTGAAAAATTTTGAGGTAAGGTGAATACAAACCCTCAGTTTAGAAAAAAAAAGTAACAAAATATTAAGTTTTTTCTGCATTTTTGATTGACAGAGGTGCTTTCATTGAAAAACTGCCTGCTATCAGGCTATGATTCATGATTTAAAACATCATGAGAGGCACACTTGATCATATTTTTGTGTGGTGAAAAAACTACCTTTTATATTTTTGGTTGAGTGAAAGAGTTACAGCAAACATTCTGTCATTGTGAAAAGGTCTGTAACAAGGAGGAGGAAGTCTATATCCCATCATTATAACTCAAGAGACACTGAAAGTTCACTAGACCCCCGCTTGGCGGCCTCTTGTGGACACAGAGGAAATAAACTTGCAGTTTGTAAGAGCTCTGGGTTTTTTCCACTTGTCACACTGGTTTAACATACCATTCAAATCCATCTTAACTGCAATGAAACACAGGAATGCCAGATGTCGTTTGGATTTTTTTTTTTCATGATCAGTGCCAAATAAAAATTTTCCACTGAACTGAAGATGATCTTCAAATGAAATCATCATCATCCTCAGTTGTTGAAAAGCAGCGGTCTGTGTCAGGAGTATGAAGCGCAAGTAATGTTAAAAACATCCCACGTGTTGTCAGGTACCAAAAGGCCAACATAATACGTAAACTAACAAGTTAAAATATCCATTTTAAAGTTTTTTCCCTGATTAATTTCTTTCTCTTCACCACTCCCGTTTGTGTTCAAGTATAAACCTGTTGTTATTTCCAAGCAGTAAATCCTGAAGTGTCTCCCATGCTGTGTATAAACCAAACAAATTCTGATACCCTGCCATGTTTTCTTATGAAAAGATGAATGGCTTTAAGGACATAATGCACCACAAAGGTTACACAATCTCAGTTCTCCGAAATGTTTTGGTGCATAGTTCGTTTGGGCAGATTGTTGGGATGAGCTTGTCTTCATAACTCTGTTCCTCCTTACCCTGGTTTGACCTATACTAATCCCTTTGAAATTACCAGCACAATTAAAATAAATAACCATCTTCTAATGATAGGGCAGCATTTCCCTTTTCATTTACCTGGAACATGAAGCCAATAAAAGGTAATCAGTCATGCTTGTCCTTACTTATTGGTTAGAAACAGCATATTATAAACCAATCATCTCAACAACAACAAAAAAAAAGTTCAGAATTCAAATTAGATCCAATGCTGCTTTTTCTCCATGCATCACTTATGTGTCAAGTATTTAAAAATAAAAAGATCTAACAAATTATGGAAATAATAACCAGCACGTGTTAAACTCATCTTTAGAACAATAATACTGTGCAGAATCCAAAGTAGCTTTGTAGCCTATTTAACCTCAGCAATAGATTACAAATGCAGGACCCTAAGAGGTTAAGTCAAGACCCACCTATGGATCTTTGTTGTCAGCGGGAAGTAATCCATCCTTCTATTCACACAGCAGTTAACAACAACTAGACTGTAGAGTGGTAAGAGGGGAAGCATAACCCCTAAAATTCTAACTGAATGTAAATATCTTTTTTATGGCTCTAATGGATAATGGATTGAACAAATCCAGCGATGATCTTATTGAAGGAATCATAATTTTCTTGCTAATTTTTGCACTCCTTGTAAATCAATTATTTGTCATCCATTTGTGAGGATATTTGAGGACTGCAGGGAGGCAGTGAAGTTAGTTTCATGTTGGACATCAGGCACACGTTTATCTTGGACCAATCACAACCTGATGCAGAGACATTAGAGGCAGGAGGGTTTGCTTAGTTAAAAGTACTTTGCAAAGTAGAGATCACAGATGTTTCATAAAAGAAAACACCTAAATTCCAATTTCCTCCATGATCATTTTGTAAGAAAAGCTTTTTAAAAAATAATGAATGTACATGAGTTTATCCATCCTTAAAATGAAATGAAAATTGCATAAGAATAAATAATGTTATTTAAAAAATGAAAAGGTTTTTAAAGGCTTTCACATCAAGAGAGCCACAGCCCTCAATTAAGTAACAAATTCATACATCTGTCAAATAATAAAAATTGAATCCAAGTATTTTTTTTGTTTTGCTTTGTTTTTGTTTTTAATTTGATGATCTTTTCAATAGATCTATCAGTAGCTTTCAAGTCATGTGAGCTACTTTGCTTACACGGGTCTGAGATGTTCATTCTCTTGAATTAATTAAACTAAAAAATAATAATAATAATTACATTTATTTTCAATTGTTTTTTCAGTGAAAAATATATGCTATTTTTCAACAGCTCCTGAGCAATGTGAACCACAAATTGTTGTCAGATGGTTATTCATACACACCAGCTCTGTCTTATCGATAAAGTAGGAAAGTCGTGAATTTTAATCAAAATTCCATATAGCAATATAAGTCGTGATCTATTTTTGATAGATATAGCAGGTATGTATTAGATGTCAATAACAGTCAAACGTGTCAAAAGGAGGAGGAGGATGTCAAAAGTTCCTATCTGTGTTTTGAGTCAGGTGTGTAAGCTACTGCAGGGCTCTCAAGTCTCACGCATTCAGCGTGTGACACACGCATTCCCACCCGTTCACACGCTCACACGCCACACATTGTATTTCTCACGCATTTAAATGAACATGGTGATGTCCACCAAGTTGCACCTCTTTGGCTATGGAACAGGTAGGAATCAACTGAGTTCCTCCGAGAGTTCAGAAGCTGCGTGCCACGCGCAAGCCAATCAAATAAAGTATATCTACTGAACAGCCAATAAAAAAGCAGCATTGCTGTATCCAGGTAGATTTTGATATCTTACGGTTTGACTACAGAAGAAGACAGACACTCGCCGAAATAAAGCAGGTTTTTATAAGGACGAGATAGACCCGATGATTACAGTAAGTCAGTAACCTACACATGCAGAGACCTCAACACCTCATGGCATATAAACTCATATGATAAACTAAAGCCCTATGCTATTGCTATTAACAGCTGTATTGACGGATTTAGCCAAGAGTACCCAACTGCAGCGCAAAGATGGCGGACCCAAAAGATGAAAACGCAATGAACAAACGCAATGAATTTCCGCATTACCTCCGATTGGCGGACCCAAAACATGAACTTCCGCTTTGCGATGCCAGAACAGTAGGTGGCGGTATGCACCTAAACTTTCTGACGGCAAAATTTACAGAAGAAGAAGAACTCTCAGGAAGTTTGAAAAGAAGCAAGCCGTCCGCATTCATTCAATCTCACCTCCGACCCACTCAAACTAACCCTAACCCTGCATTCCATTGTTTCTATCATGGGAAATCTAAGTGACGCTCTCAAATTAACAGGAACATTGCGCAGAAGATATGTCCTGGGCAATGGACTGAGAAAACGGGCAGAGATTTAGAGGTATTTGTGCATGCTCTATATTACAGTTGAAAAGTGTATAACAGCTTTCCAATGCTGTTACTTGTGGCGAACACCTTTTTGCTTGAGTTGATGCGTGCCCGCAGGTGGAATAATGTCACATGTCACACCGTCCATATTTTCTGTTGTTTTGATTTATTTACTCATTCATCATTTTATGTAAGACAAAGATACAAGACCACTTCACACGGTCAAAAAACTGTTCGGCTTCCCAGGTGTGCGCACCTGTCCTAATCAACCCACCCATTAAATAGACAGGCACAATAGCACCATCTGCTGGCACAAAAAATACATAACAATAAACTGCAAAACCCCAATCTGGCTCCTACAAAGTGTATGTGACAAGATGATTAACGTTTGCTTTTGTTAAATCAGGGCTTCCCCAGCCAGGACTTCGGCTCAGACTGTGGCATATTCATGTTGATGGTAGGTCATAACGAGCTGTAATGCACAAATATTGTATCTAGAATAACTTTCCAACATGGACTTTTTTAAAGTTATCTCATATGTTGTCTCATAATTTTTTTTTTAAGTCTGCCATGTACATCGTTATGGAGTCACAGTTTGACTACTCAGTTGTAAGTACTTTTCAACACGCAGTGTCATCCTCAAGGTTGTATTTTGTATTGTGCACTAAAATGAAATACAAACAACAATTTCAGCATGACATGCCTGTTTTGCAGCGATGGTGGTGCCTGTTGCTCCTGGAGAACAATTCTTTGAACAGGTAGACAGTTTAAGTAAACTAGATGCCCTAATTAACTGGAAGACAATCAATATATTGTACTTAAAGATATATTGTCATTACAGTTGTGGGAAAATCTTCGCCCACTGGACCAAAGAATGTCAAGAGCTCATTGCTGGAAAGCATACTCCGGTCTTCAGTCTAAAGAGGAAGGCAGAGCAGCAGGACATAGAGGTTAGAAAATTGCCTTCTAAAAACAGTATTATCTCAGTGGGAGTCCTTCAAAATGCACACAGTTGTATGGATCAACATTGTCTCGATGTATTTGGTAATTGATGTTACTTTTCAAATTGACTTGTCAAGGAAACCATGACGCAGACGGCATTGGATGTCCAAAGAATGTGCATGGCAGATTCAATGCAATTCTGTGTCTACCAGACATCGAACAACACAGGAGAGAGGTGTGTTGCAGACTCAATTTAATAAATGCAATTATCGGGACCTATTCAGTGATTTTCCATGAAGTGACCACTTTTACATATAGTTTAAATGCACGAATCATGCAGGAAAATTATTTATACATTCAAATGTGCTGTAGAGGTATAATCAATTGGACAGCGTGTTTGTTTAATATTATGTTTGTCTCTCATTTGATCAGATTGCTTTACCCTGAGGTAAAATTGATAAAATGGGTCCAGTGCAAGACGTGCAGGGGCTGGCTGCATCAGGATTGTGTTGGGATTGACATGGAGCCGTTTGACTGCGGCTGCGAGGACTCCATTGAGCATCCTCGGTATAAAATAATTTATCAAGGAAACATAGTATCAGTCAAAAATACGAGGCTCAAAGGATGAAAAAATGAGGGCTTGCTCTTTTTCTTATTTCTCTGCAGGATCAAGGATGCTGTTGACAGTGGAGGAATTGATGCTGTCTTTTCTAAGACACAGATCAAGGTTGCTTTTGAATGCACTATCAGTTGTTAAAGCCACCGTTTCTTTTTCAGATGATTACATTTTTGTCTCTTGCTCTTTGGTTTCAGACATTACACGATGATCTACTCTCTGGAAAGATCCGCTCCAACAGGATGTTTCTTTGGAGGAATCCCGCCACCTCACTCCGGCTAAAGCAGCATCTAAAGATAAGGGGCTCTATTTTCGTTCGCGCCGGTGAGGCGGCGGAGGGCGGCGAGCCCCACGCAGTTGTATTTTCGTCTGGCGGAGCCCGGCGTAAGGCGAGTTTGGTATTTTCGTGGACTGAGTCGCACGGAGGCGAGCCGAGATCCGCCAAGCTGGGCGTGGTGGCGTGGCAGGGGGAGGTGTTGACAGAATCAGCTGGCGCAGTGACATTTTCGTGCTCGCCACTAGCGTGTAACGTGCGCTGAAAGCTCGCCGATTCAAACCTGGTCAGCTTTCAGCGCAAGGCGGAACGCAGCTGGTCTAGTAGTATTTTGGTAGACCGGCCGCGTATCGACATACGTCACTGATGCCTCACCGGCAGGTTTCCACAGTGTCAGGCAGATTTCAGTGCAATAAATAATCATCAACAACTATTAATCTGAGTCAGCACATACATTTAGATCTATATCAATATATTCTGATCTATAGCTGATCTGATGAGCGCGTTTGGCACGCGTTTGGCACGCGTTTGGGCACACAACCTGACCCAATCAATACAGCTGAAACTGCATCAAATTAAATTAAATATCTAGTAAATAAACACACATGATGAAGTTAACAAGATATGTAATGTGTCTCCCTCCTTTTCTTTCTTCCTCTTATTTCTCGCACAGCTCGACCTGGACACGTCTCCGTGTCCTCTGTCCGTCTTGCTGCAGCTGCTGAACAGATGATTTGTTTCAGTGCTCAGATGCGTTATCTACTTTAAGCCGACGTACGGATATTATAATATTCAGTTTTGTGGGCCAAATTTATTTTATATGCCAACATCTATGAAAGAAAGAGCCAGGCCACGGAGCGCGATGCGTCATTTACGCACAGATGGTTCCGATTTTAATGCCATTTTTGGAGTTTATGTTGTGATCTGTGCGCTAAACCCACCTTTGTCACGTGAGGTTTGAATATATGCAACTTTATGTGAGTATCTTTTTTGTGGAAAAGGGTGTTTGTCTTACCAGTGGGTCCAACATTACGCACACCAAATCTATCTGTGCTCAGATGAGAGAGTGTGGAGGACACTTGTTGAGCAGCTGCCCTCTGTCGCCATCGTGTGGCATAACTGTCTTCAGACATCTCTTGATCTCTTTGACTACTTCATGAAAATAGTAATACGCCTCGCCGGTGGTGGATTTAAAGGCAAGGAGAGGAGCTTATGTGATTGGTGAAAACAGGTCTCGGCTGTGTTAAACTCCTATACGCCCTCTCTCCTCCCCGTGTACGAATTATGCTGCCAGGAGGAGCTGAGTTAGGGAGGGGGGATACTTACGCCGGGCTGCGCGGCTCACCAAAATACCAAAATGTGCTTGGGAACGCCTTGTCAGCGCGGCGGATCTGATTGACGCTGCGCTTGCGGCACGTCTTCGGCGAGGCACCAAAATAGAGCCCAAGGTCACTAAGTTGGAGTGAGCAGCGCGTAAGTAAAAATGCCATCCATCATGAGTATTTTTACTCTCAGAGGTGTTACATTTGAAAGCTGTTTACTTTCTGTGTTTTTCTTCAATAGATGTTCGAGCTCCTGCGGTTTATTGAGGAGGCAACAACCATATCGGAAAAAATCAAAAGAGGCGAGATTCACCTGCTTGATTTTGTCTTTGATGTCATGCTCCCAGAGGTGAGTAGATCAAACTATATATCTTGCTTTGAAAATTGATGATATTGTTAAGAGGTTGTTCTTATTCATTTGGAAGGCTCAAGAACAACAATTAACCCATACTGCATAACTTCAATTGTTCACATTATTTGACTGTTTTTCAGCTTTTGATCAAAGCACTTCAGGAGCATGGCATCACCCGGTTCAGAGCAGAGCAGATGATGGCCTGTAGCAATATATTTTAAGCCCCCCACCACACCGACGGCAACGCTCTAAATTATGTATATACGATTATATTTTTTTTTACTGTTCACAATTTATTTTTTGGAAAATATTAAAGAAATCTTTGAAGCAGTTGTATGACAATTTCCCATTTCTTTACACAGTCTGTAATGATATCGCAATTCAATTGTTTTTGCTAAATGGCTCTTCTGAACCTTAAACAGATCATGTGACTTGTGTCTCTACAATTATTGTATACTTGGATTTTGCACAGTCAATCAATCCTGAAGAGGCTCACCAGGAAGCACACCATTTCATAAATTATGTCCCTGGTTACACAATGTTACTAAAGGATGGGGGGAAAAATATGTGCAGCAACGTAAGCACTCTCATAAAACATAATTATGAACAACAGAAAATATGTGAGGGTCAGGGCAACATTGTTGACATTAAACGAGGTCCTAATAGATTCACAGTGGAGGATACATCACACACACACCTGCTAATAGGAGAAACAAGGTCACAGAGAAGTTAAGAAACATTCATGTGCTGTGTAATAAAGCTATTGCAGAGAGAAGTTAGAAAACACTCTTATATGATGTGTAACAAGACGTTAAAACAGTCCATACTTGTAGCAAACTCTTACATAAGAATTTGAGTAAGATGATAACTTCTATATACATTTATACCTATTCTGACAAATTATCAGAATATGAGGACATCAGTCTATATATACATATTACTGTAAACTTCAGAATTAAATCAGAACAAAACAGTAGTCATAATTAAGACATAAACGTTTTATTTTGATTTTTAGCTCAATAATAAATTCAATTCGATTCTTACGGAATGAACGGAGCGAGAAAAAAAAAAAAAAAGGATCCGGCGACTAAATCCGACTACTGGAAGTCCCTTCTGACAAAAAAAATCGATCATTGGAATAACCTTCCCACATGTTGTTTCTTTTTTAAGTTGGACGAATTAATTCCATTAGAAACGTACCGCATGGATGTGACCAAAAAACAAACTTTTGGCGAAATATCTCGGCGCCAGAAGTCTGCCACCGAGAAAGCCTATCCACCGGAATTAATTCTTTTGGGTCCGCCAATCGGAGGTAATGCGGAAATTCATTGCGTTTGTTCATTGCGTTTGTTCATCTTTTGGGTCCGCCATCTTTGCGCTGCAGCTGGGTCCCTCTCGATTTAGCCTCTGTACAGCCATTTCCAGCCATTTTCCCCTCCACAAAAGCAGCATTTCTCATAAATCTCAAATATAAGTTCTGATACTCATGACAGTGTAATGCTCATGTACCAAAGGATTAAGTATCTCCATGTTTGTGAAACCTATACTAAAGTACAATTCATCTAAATGCTCCACAGTGCTGATTTTAACAACTCTCCTTCACAACAGGTAACTTTACGACTTAATACTTATATATTAATGACTTTATTCTCCCAAATAATAACTTTATTCTTTAAGATTTAAAAACGTTTTTTTTCTAATTGTGCCCCTTATACTCCGTTGTATTTAAGAGATAATTATACTAATAATTATCTTCAATCACCCCCCCAAGGAAATCTCACTCTAAGCTTAGTTCAAAACTTGAGAGCCCTGCGATTAAACAATGATCAATGACAATGATCAACTTTGGGTTTTTTTTTTAAAACAGGGGGACAAAGCTTTACAGATGTAGTTACTGCTCTAAAATATTGATATGATAGGAGTATATATAGACTATTTTTAGTAGCCTTCTAAAGAAAATCGACTGAATTTAATTGAAGTAAAGGCTTCAGTGGAATTTATAATGAAACACAAAGTTTCCAGTTTTTGTTGGGTTACCTATGAGACAAAGGCCTACTTAGCTGTAGTTTTCAAAACGTTGTCGTTTTGTACCGAAATAAGGAAGGTTTTTAAATTAAAATGCTTTTAAACTCTTAAACTAGTTGACGAAAAATAACATCCACTTTACTTCAAGAGATATTTATATTCTATTGAGATTAAAGTAAATTAAAGATAATATTCAACTTTTAGATATAACCTACCAGTGTAAGGGTTTTTCTAAAGTAAACAGCATTTTAAATCTCCATGGTAACCTGTAACGATGTAAAAACTTTAAATCATTACAAGCAAAAGAGAGCGGTCATTTCTGAAGATCAAATCTGAAGAGAACAGCACGTAAAACTTAAGCGGCTCACGAACTTACAACTTTTGACGGCTTCATCGTAAATAAAACCTCACCAGACGACTAAGGACTCCGACAAACACCTCTAACCAACACCTGAACAGAGAGGACAACATCTACGACATGGAGACCGTAAGATTTCATGACAATATTAGCATACAAACTTGTGTTACTGTCGAGACTTCCGTGATGGTTAAGCGATGCATCGACAAGGATTAAATGTGTGCATAGATATTTACAGTGTTTATGACTTTAATGTGACAGGCATTATCAAAACTAGAAAAAATTGCATTTCCTTGCAGAAAATGCGTGGAAATGCTGAGTGCTGGAAGCTTAAAAAGCAATGCTAAACTGCTAAAAAAAAAAAAATGGAGGAATGTTTAAATGTAAACTTGGTTAAAGACCTGGAGAAAGAAAAGAAGAAGTTAGATGAAAGTGAAAATTGCTGAAGTACAAATAGTATGAATGTGCTTCATAAATTAAAATTGCATTCATGCTAAATAAGGCTAGAAAAACTGTCTGAAATTGCAAAAAAAAATTGTATAAGGAAGAAAATTACCTTAAAACACAGAAAAGTAAGAAGCGGCATAAGTTTAAGTTGAAGTACTAGAAGAAGTATGATAATAGGTAGTTGTACTAGTGATATTAGTAGTCATGTAAGCAGTAGAAGTAGTTTTAGAATAGAAGAAGTAGAAGTCAAAGCAATAGAGCTCGTGGTAGAAGTAAAAAAATATTAAGAGAAGCAAGAGCAGTGGAGGTAGAAGTGAAGATACAAGTTAAAGCGATATAAGTAGTAATTGTAGTGGTAGAACTGGGATTTTGTTTGAAGAATTAAAACATACATAAATAATGGGAATGATTTTGAAGTGGGAAAAATTTTAAATACTTAGAAGTCCTAAAGTGTTAAACAGGTTTGAAGTATCAGAAAGGTTTGAGTCAGTTTGAATGAGTTTAGATTTGTCTGACTAATTTA